TAGCGTTATGATATAAAATCTAGCAACACTATTATTCATTGTTTAGAGTGATATTAGTCTAGTCTCTTAAGTTCAATTTCAGCATACATAAAGATAAGGACAACTACTACAAAGAGAATGAGAGACACTATGGTAGTCATTAGTGTCTTCCCCAGTGTCAGATGTTGAGGCTAAAAAGCCTTCATCATTCTATAATGATTTGATTAGTTCTATAATATGCAGTATGTATTCAATGTGTGCAAAGATGGGGACAACTATTTGGAAGAAACTAGAGACAATAAGATGGACATAAGGATCTCCAGTGGACTTGCTTTGAAATCTGTAATTCTTTAAATTGTTTCTTTTTGAACTGTTTTGTTCTGTTTTGATAAGTTTAACCTTACCCTCTTTAAGATAAAAAACAAATGTGTAGGACTGATAACCATATTACTAAGTTTTTGTTGGATCAGTGAGCAGAACTGTTGGCAGTGTCACTATTTGAATGTCACTTTGCATGCTTTAATTTTGTAACCTGAACAAATAGTTCTAAGATGACAATATGTAACATCAACTGGTGATTTCTTACTTTTTATTTTTCTGTAATTCTGTATTATTTCTACCCTTTTTTCTGTTTTTTTTTCTTTCTCTTTAAATAAAAAAAACCTAAAAAAAAAAACACCTGCCTTCTTTGAGTAGGCAAACAAGAGACCCTGTGTCTGATGGACTGTGAGAAGACTGTACTGTTTCGGATCCCAAAGCAACAGGAGGCAGGAGGGCACAGAGCAGGGATGGGGACTAGTCATTTATCATTTTTGGAAAAATGTTTTGTTGGGTTAGCAAAACTGCAACTGTTGGCTTGAGCCAATATCTTTGGTCTGTGTGTGGCTGGGCCCTGGGAAAAGACACCACACCACAAGTAGTATTAGAGTTTCTATGAAAATGTCAACTTCCTCTGAGTCCAAAGAAAGAAAGAGAAAAAGAGGAAAGAGAGAAAGAGAGAGAGAAACAGAGAGAGAGAGAGAGAGAGAGAGAGAGAGAGAGAGAGAGAGAGAGAGAGAGAGAGAGAACAGCTGGACTTCTATCTCATATGATCTCATATGTTTTAGTATGTTTTGTGCTCATTTTCATTTGAGTATTTTCTATTTTTTGTGATATGTCCTTTGAGACAATTGTTACTTGGTAGTATATTGCTGAATTTCTGCAAAATTATGATGTTTCTAAATTTCTTTCTCTTTTTGGCTTCTCATTTCATTCCTCTTTAGTTAGAGAACATAGGTCATATGATTTCATTTCTTTAAATTTATTGAGGCTTGTTTTATGGTTTAGCATATGATGTATTCTGGAAAATATTTCATGTGTACTTGGGAGGAATGTGCTTTCTTGCTGTTGCTGGGTGGTGTGCTGTTTGAGTTTTCTATTTACTAGTTGATCTTTTGCCTAGTTGTTCTATTCATAATTGAAAGAGGGATGTTGAATTCTCCAACTATTACTGCTTTCTGTTTCTTCAATTCTGTCAGATTTTGCTTCATGTAGTTTAGGAATATACTGTTAGCTGCAAATATTTTTAACTGTTGTTATCTCTTGCTAGATTGATTTCTTTTATCATTACATAAAGTCTTTCTTTGACTTTAGCAATAGTTTCAAAGTTCATTATGTACAGAAACTCTAGATCTCTTCTGGGTATTGTTTGAATATCTTTGTGAAATTTTTTATTTATATATTTTGTGGTACTAGGGATTGAATCCAAGGATGCTCTACCACTGAGCTACATCCTCAGTCCCTTTTTTATGTCTCACTAAATGTCCCAGGTGCCTTCAACTTGCAGTTCTGCTTTACTCACCTAAATAGCTGCGATAACAGGTATACAGTATCATGTCTGCCTTTTATTTTTGATTGACAAATGATTGTATTTTTATAGTATACAATATGATATTTCAATCTGTTTCTGCATTCTTTTATTTGAGTTGTTTGTCTTGAGTCTCTTGTATCCAGCCTATATTTGAATAATGCTTTTTTAAAAACTTCATTCAGATAATCTTTACATTTTCCTTAGAGCTTTAGTGCACTTTAATTTGCTTATAAGATGGGTTATACATCTAAATTTTGCAGTTTGTTTTCTATCTTTATGCTTGTCTGTGGTCCCTTTACTGCCTTCTTTTGTTTAAAATAGATATCTTAGTATATAATTTTTTTCTTTGCTATTTACATCTTTTGGTAAATTTCTTAGCAGGTCCAAAGATTACAGTTCATACTTTAATTTATAACATATTAGTTTGGGTTAATATCAACTTAATTCCCAGAGTATAATCAAATTTCATTCCTGTGCAGCCACTAGAGAGCCTACCACTAGCCTCTCCAAGACTTCTTTTTTAAAACTTTTATTTATTTTTCTCTTTTGCAGACAGTTTCACTCTGTAAATCAGGCTGGTCTTGAACTTACTATGTAGCCCAGACTGGTCTTGAACTTGCAGCAATCCTTCTGCTTCCACCTTCCAAGTACTGGGATTACAGGCTTGCACCACCATGCCTGACTCAAAAGGGATCCAAGAGTAAGTGCTCCTAGTGAAAAAGAAGCTGCGAAGTCTTTTATGACCTTACCTCAGAAGTAGACAGCGTCACTTCTTCTGTATTCCTTTTGTAGCAGCCTCAGGTTTACCCAGATTCAGGGCAGCGGATACAGACCTTGTCTTTTGATGGAAATATGGGCAAATAATTTGCAGGTAGTGTATAAAATTGCTATAATAAGTGAAGAAATCAAGACACGGATATTGTGCCAAGGTCATTTGTGGGGTAAACACAGAACTCCTCAGTATTAATTATAATATTCCTTTGCTTGAAAGTAAAGGAACTGAAAAGCATTAGGGACTTCCTTCCCTCTTCCCTCTTCCCACTTCCCTTGCTGCGTATGTGTGGGGTGAGAGAAGCACATGCAAGTCCCACCTTAGGAAGAGGGACACCACCTTTCCCAGGAGGAAGGGCACTGCCTCCAGAGACAAGGGAGCCCAAGTGTTTCCTTTATTCTTTCAAAAGAAGAAAAAGGCTTTTTCTTTGCTACTTGTTACCTACTGTCCCATTTCATGGGAAGGGAACCTAGTTGGAAAGCTATGACTGAAGAAATACTATAGAATACTGTATATTTGAAAGTAGGGCCTCTTCCAGGGCCAACAGATATGGCCTGATTTTCAGACACTGCCTCAATTTTACAGTTTTGAAATCATTTTCAGTAATTTACACATTCATATTTTGTACTGAGATAAAGAAATTATGAAATGTAAATATTTAAAATATATGAAATGTTTTATAATGTTTTTATGCCTTAAGAGCCTTTAAAAATACAAAATTGGGTCTTTCTAGATCTCTGACAATGTAAGGTGGAAAAGACTTGATAGAAGCTATGCTATGCACCCATCACTCCATAACTTACACATCACAAGATTCCTTTCTCTCCCTCTTCCCAAATTGCAGTGTATAAAGCTGCAGAATTGGGGATTGAAGTCTGATTATTGATGCCTAGGAGAGACTAAGATAATTTTCACCCCATCCCCATTGCACACGTGCTACAGGAGTAGAGACAAAGCTGGAGCCGGGCCTGGGCTTACGCGTGAGCGCTGGTCATTTGTGCGGATATTATATTTAGGAGACTAGAGCTGAGGGGCTTGAAGGAATAATGCTCATGTGGTGACCAGGAGGTGTCAATCTGGTCCTCTTCAGCATGCCATCCAGAACTTAGGTGCAAGGGAACAAAGGGCAATGACTCTTTTCCTCCACCTAGTGGTGAGCCACTTGAGAAGGAGACCCATATATTTCCCTAAAACACTACAGAATAGGCCATGCTGACTCAAGAGGATGAGGGTGGCCAAACACTTAAAAGGGACTACAAGGCCTCTTCTACCTCCATTTAGTTTCCTGTGTTTGCTGGTAGTGTCAATACTAACAACTATTAACAGGTTTCTATACAACATTCATAGAATGTTATATATCAAAAAAAAAAAAAAAAAAAGAAAGAAAGAAAAAGCAAGAAAAAAAACAAAGAAAGAAAAAGGGGAGAGTACATAAGTAGGAACATGCAGAATTCGCAGCAACCTGGTCTCTTTGTCTCTGCCCTGCCACAAGAATAATCCTAAAGGCATTAAAGTAACTGACAGGCCAAAGATACATTCAAAATTCGTGTCCACAAATGGAACCCTTATTTTTTAGTCTCTAGGAAACTACAACATTTTAACAAATGTTTTTTAAAAAGCTTAAATGACCTTTAGAAGTTGATATAGAATAAAACTTATTTTCTAATCACAATAGAACAGAACCAAAAACTAAAAAGGAAAATGGCAACACTGTACAGCTCCTAAGTCAAAGAGGAATTATAATGGAAACTCAAATAACAATTTTGAAATCATTCTTAAGAACATTATAGATAAATATTACCGAAGCCATACTTAGAACATCTTTAGCTTTAAATGTCTTTATCACTAAAAAGAATGACAATATAATATGTTTGGTATCTCATGAAAACCTACACTGTGCAGGGCCTGAAACATATAGTTCATTTTATCTTTATAGTACTTACAAAGTGTGTACTGTTTTTTGTCCTTCACAATACATCAGAGGTTGGTACTGTATATTCCTTAGTTAGGTATACCCATGCAATATTACAACTATGTAATGTTTCCAAGAAATATTTCACATTTCTTCACTGAATGCCACAGATATTTATTAATGTTTATTATATACAGGGCACTGTAACAAAGATATGAATATGAGACATTCTGCCTCATAAAAAATCTCATATTTATTTGTAATCAAGATAAGGTTGTAGCTACTACAATGACTGTAGCTAACTTTTCAAGCTACAATTGTCAGTATTAAATGCTAAAAACAATGTAATCAGTGTACTATGGTTGTAGACAGAAAAGTGATTCCAACTCAGAATGGGGACAGAAGTCAAATGTAATGTTTATTGCCACTGTTCAGGGAAGCATCTCTGAAGTTGTTCAAACAATTACTTAATGCAAGAGAACCAGGGATAGCATATACATTTCATTTTATTAAAATATTGTATAAATACAGAGCAGTTGGGCACATCCATTCTAAGGCACTATTCTGGTTTGAATGCAATTCCACAAGAGAAAAGAGAAGCCATTACATTCGGTATTTTTCATCTCTACATTCAGACTCCTCTCATATTACATGTTTATTGCTACTGGGATCTCAATTTTAACCCCAATTGTATAGCAGCATCATACAGGGACCTGGATGTGAAAAGTTAAAGACACATCCTGGCTCTGGCACTTGATATTATTTGGCACTTAATTACAAACTCTCTTGCATTGTTCTCTATGTGTTCCCCAACTCTTGTTTATAACTAGATACATTACAAACACTTTTATGAGCCTGACCCACGAACTGTATTTCTTTACTAGTGTCTGTTAAGCTTAGAATAGGACTAGTTAGGCACATAATAGATACTCCCAAACGCTTAGACATCAGTTGCAAGCAATTCAATGCAATAGAAGAGATATACTTCCCTAGTCCTAGTTAAGGAAAGAATGACTGGATAGCTTCATATAAGAAAAACACTTGAATGTTTTATTTCTTGTATCTCATAACAAGGAACTAGGCTCAATAAATATTTTCACATACTAACTGATTATGAGACTTCTTCCCTCATGTGGGAATTTGAGTTGTTACCAGGATTATATGAGAATGTTTATATAAGTAACAGCTGTGTGTGCATATGTAATTATAAGTAAAATTCAAAAAGGATGATAATCACTGACAACTTAATTTGCCTGAATTTGTGATCCTCACCTCCTTAAAATGGTATGTGTGTATGTATCTGTGTGTGTGTGTGTGTACTTATAAGGAAAATTAAGAGGTTAAGAATCACTGAGAAATTTATAAATGATATAAATTAGTGATCCTCACCTCCTTGAAATGATGTGTGTATTATACAAAAGATATGTATCTTTAAAGAATTTTTATAATACCTTTAAAACAACTGGAGATAACTAGCTTGGGAGCAACAGAACAATATTGATAGTTACAAAAGTATCTGTTTAAGGCAGTGCGTTCTAAGGGACAATTTGCAGAATAGTTCTGCCAGCTATTATTGGATGAACAAGAAAAAGGGTGTACTGGGTCCAAGTAAGTTTGGAAAATATTGAGCCAAAAGAGGTGCTTTCTCCTCCTTTTCTGGCAGACCTCTCCCAAAGTCTCATAAGCTGGTGTGCACTATGAATCCAGGAAGGGGAAATAGGAGGAAGCAATTCTGAAAACTTGCAGAATATCTTGCAGAAACAAATGTTTTGTGACACATTCTTAGCAAGATAATGAATTAAAGAATGGGTAAAATTTCAAAAGCACTGAAAGGAATATAAGTGAATATCAAAAGAGAGCAAAAAGCCATGGATACTGGTTCTTCAATTCAATCTCAGTTAAACTGCATCCTACTTGTACAATTTCAACACTCAAGTGGGTTCTTTACTTTTTGTGGTAATGAGATCAAGCCCAGGGCCTTCCCCAACCCTTTTCTGATTATTTTATTTTGAGACAAATTCTTGTAAGTCATCAATTTGCTGAGGCTGGACTTGAACATGCTATCCTCCTGCTTCAGCCCCCGCCCCCCAGAGTTCTGGGATTACATGTGTACAACATCAAACCTGGCTTCAAGTGGACCATTCCAGACCTAGAGCTTAATTACCAAACAAATACTCCCCTCCAAGCACTACCGCCACAGACTTCCAACTAAGCAGACCAGAAAACTTTGCAAAATTCACAAGGAAAGGTTAAAATATTAATTTTCTTAAACATAAATATTTTAATGCAAAGAGCCCAGTTCTCACCAGGCAAGTGATAACCCCTCCATCCTTGTGTTCCTCACATTTTATTTGGCAAAATTCACTGTCTCCCTTCCTGCCACCTAGGCACATCTAAAGTCTTTAGTTCACCTTTAATTACACAGCAGAATATGTATGGTACTGCTACAATAGATATGTCAGGTAGGCAAGGTTATCCATTATACTGATCCTACCCCTAAAGGGACTTTCATCATATTTATGCGTGGAACACAAAATTTTCCATTTTAATAAAAGAGGTGGAGACAGGATAAATCAAGTTAGGAAAACTGCTACTGTAGGTGGCTATTCTAGAGCTCATACACCTTGGAAGATGGATTTTAAACAAATAGTCTTCCTACATTTTGTAAAGAAAGGCTGAAATACATCAATACTTGGAATTCTTACACTGTCTGCAGTTTTAAATTGTCAAAATAAAAAATGCTAACAAAAACCAGCCCTCCAGTCCCACTCCCCCAAAGCTGTTCTCATGAGTTCAAACAAAAATGTCCTTCCAGAAAAACAGGTTACTACAGGTTACAATGTTTTCAAGTTAGTGTTAAGTTTCTGTAGGACCTGTTTCCCTCAACAATTCCTAAAGAAGTCCTCTAAAATGAGTGACTTGGTGCATAATAAGGCCTGCTCTCTGTCTGAAGCTTTTAGAACAATGACTACACTTGTATGGCTTTTCCCCTGTATGGATTCTTAAATGAATAACAAGGCTTGGTCTCTGCCTAAAGCTTTTCCCACAGTAATTACATTTAAAAGGTCTCTCTTCAGTATGTGTTCTCTGGTGCAAAGTAAGCGCAGTCAGTCTACTAAAACTTTTCCCACAATTAGGACATCTATGAGGTTTTTCACCTGTGTGAGTTTTCAGATGTCGTTTAAGACTTGACCCATGACAAAAACTTTTCCCACATTCAAGGCATTTGTATGTTTCCTCTTCAGAATGAGTTCTCTGGTGCCCAATAAGGTGTGACCGTCGCGTGAATCGCTTTTTACATACAGTACATTCATAGGGTCTCTCTCCTGTGTGAAGTCGCTGGTGTCTATAAAGGTCTGAACTACGAAGGAATCTTTTTCCACATTCAGGGCACTTGTGAGGTTCCTCTCCTGAATGAATTCTCTGGTGCCCAGTAAGTTGTGACTTCCGAGCAAAACATTTTCCACACTGCGCACATCGGTGAGGTTTCTCTCCTGGATTCTTTTTCTTTTGGGGCTTAGGGTTGAGAGGTTCTTCCAAGTTGGTGCTCTCAGGTGTCTCTCCTAAAGGGGGGTTTTGATTGTCCACAAGTTTTGTTAAATCTGTCTGTAAATCCTCCGGGGGTGGTTCCCACTGATTTTCTAATGGAACATAGTCTTTTTGCATAACGGGACCATGGAGAGAATTCCCCTCTAAAGTTACAATAAATGGATATATATTCTCCAGTTTTTTCTGTTTTGAAGCATCTTCTTCATTTCCTATCCCCATCTCAAAATCTGAGAAAAGAAATAAAAATTGAAGATGTTAATTGTATTCTAAGAGAAAAATAAATGAAGGAAATCCAAGAGTCATATTAAACCATTAGTAGGAATACAAAAATTCCTAAGTGGAATACCAAGCCCTTCACCTGGATTAAGGTTGCATTTTTCCATTCTTTCTTTCCTAGCACATCAATGAACAACTGCTTACCTATCTTGGAATCAAGTAATTGTTTCATTTCTTTGGAATCCTGTAAGTCCTTCACCCATGGCTCTTCTCGGGGCTCCAGTGGGAAGTTCACATCAAGCTTTGGCAATTGATATCCTGGTTATAGGAAAGAAAAGAAGCATAATCGTATAGTTCATCAAAGGGTTCTCCAGAATTCAGCTGATTTCTTGGACACGGGGCCCCTTAATATGCACTTCTTCCTCAGTTACTATGATTTAATCTGGATTCGCTTATAAGAGTTTTTTTTTAAAGATAAGAAGAAAACAAAAATAAAAAAAAAACATCCTTTTGTTCTCACTTAAAAACTACTCTCTAATCTATGGATGGTGAGAGAATCAATTGTGTGCTAGAATCAATTTGCTAAATTACTTATACACCTATTCTGATAATCTATTTAACTTAGAGCAAAAATATGATGTAAATGTTCAATAAAATTTTAGCATGCTAAGACAGGAAAATATTGCTGAATGCTGAGTCAAGACATAAAGGTAAAAGTAGTGGGTGGTAAACTGTTTAAGGGAATAAGTTCAGTTAAGACTGCCAAATTAAAATGGAAATTGAACTGGGCTGACAGCCAGGAAAAGTAGGCCTTGTTTCAGTTACTGTCCAGAAATAGGTTTTGTTGAAGTTAAATCAATTAATGATCAAACTGTGCTTCTAACTATCAGTGTAAGGACATGACACACAGGTGAAGTTTCTACCCCTTGCTCTCCCTGTCTCGCCACTGCTCCCAGCCCATCTTCACTGACAGCCACTGAGGTTGGCACCCTGTTTTCCATGCCACTTCGTCACTTTCACATCTCTGGCCAACTGTACTGCTTTGCAATGAAATGTGGGTTGGAAATGATCAATTTGAAATTTAAATGTGGGTAATTTTTATATATTAGTATTATTAAGATAGCATGAGCAAACTAGTATAGCTAATGTTAATTCAAAGGAAAATTTCACGTCTGAACATTATATCAAGATCTAAGAAGTAGACTAAAATGTCTTATTTTATTTGTTTTATGGAGTAAAGACCATATATTTCCTTTTAAATATTAGGCAACACAAAGATGGATTTCAAACAAACGCTGTTTAAATTTTCTATTTTGTTTTTATTTGGATGACACTAAAGGGTAATTGAATGTCAAATAAAAATGAGGGCCACAGATCAAACTAAAGCAGTTGTCCAATAAAATAGGGAGCCTTAGTGGTAAGATAGGGAAACTTAGTGGTAAATAGCAAAGGCTTAGGTGTAAAACATTGATTTATAATCTAAATTTAGAGGGAGCTTGTAGGTAGACTCCAGGAAAGTAATGACCTCTGAAAACCCATGTCTCAGTGAAACTAGTTATAACTTTTAAAAATAAAAAAACAAAACACATAAAGTCTATCCAAATGATCTTGAGATAAGAAAACAAAATGAGGACTAACCCTTTCAACTTCAATAGATGGGGGGACAATGTGATCTGACAACTATCACGCCCCACCCTCTTGCTCTGGCTCTCCTCCCCAAGAGTGGCCTGGAGCCACTGACCCTAAGCCTCTTTGTCACCTCTGCAGCTGCTTCAGCATCTACTCTCTAGGACATGCTGACAGAAGCCAAGCCTCCTCTGACAGCTATGATGTCTCTGCATGGCTCTGAATTGCTGCTACTGACTTTCTGAGGATCAGTAGAAAATGGCAACCGACAGGACAAAGATCAGGGAGGGATAGGGCCCACTGCTGACATCCCTGGAATCTCCAAAACCCAGTGGGCCTTGGTCAGCATAGCCATGTCTCTTGAAGAGCCCTTGAAAGAAGTAGCGGTAATGATTTTAGCCCCTCCATTTCTGGGAAACACAAGAGCTGTCAATCAAGCAGCTACTTCCCATGAAGTTTGGCAGATCTGTTAGTGAAGCTGACACTGCTCCACAGCCACTTGGGGAGATACTTGCCTTGGCCAAGCAGGAATGAACTTACCCCAGATAACACTACCTTATAAGCACTCTGAAAGTTTCTACAATTCAGTGTTCCGATGACCCCTTCATCCCCTCTGTTACTACTGTAAAAGTCCCCAAGAAGGGCTATGAAGTGCTTGTCCCTCCTTTATATAAGAACTCCTTTACACTTTTTGAATCAGTTTAACTCCTGTGCACTACCCACCTCTCCGGCAACACAAGGCCTAGTAATGCCTTGCTTGAGGAGACTTATGATTCATATCTTGGGTAAAGAGGGATGAGAAGGTTGCAATAAAAAGTGCTAATACTGGAGCTATTAGCCCTAAAAAGCTCTAGAAAACAGCAGAGCAGTGAAGAGCCAAGACTGGTGGGAACCAGGGGTGACTTGCAGTGAACTGTAGAGACACCACAGAGGAAACAGAAGCTATTGCAAGATCTGGGGAAAGCAGCCAAGGTAGTTATGGCCTTAACTCCTGAGGTGCTAAGAGAGGTGGCAGGAGCTACCAAGAGCTGGAACATCAAGAACTCAGAGGCACTGGTCCTGAAAGCTCAGAACTGTAACCCTGAAGGGTAAGAGTCACTGGTACTCAACTAGAACTGCTAACATCAAGTTTGCTATTTCTACCTGCATTGAGTAAAAGGACCCTCAGCCAACTGGTGACAGTCCTTAAGGACACAAAGCAAATGAAGAAAGATTTGAGAAAATCTGTTAAAATTCTTTAAGAACAATGTGACTTCAAGGTATCTCAATGGCTCCCCTTATCTCTCACTTTCAGTTACTTCCACCACAGAATGGTGTAGCCAAGAGGCCTGGATACCCTCTGTCCCACAGCTACATGCAGGGACTTTTACTAAAATATATGCAAGGTGATATACTCAATGTCACCTTGCTTTTCCCTAAGACCCCATTCATTTTTCACTTTTGCCTCTGCTCTTATGACAGCATACCATAATTTGCAAAATTTGTTATCAAGTTCGCTGATTCTCTCTTCTGATGGATCACATCAGAACCACTTTAGTGATTCTTTTCATCACAGTATGCTAGTTTAGATCTACAACGTCCCTTACAGGGTCATGTGTTAAAGGCTTGGTCCCCAGCTTGACACTACTGGGAGGTGGTAAAAACTTTAAGATATGGGACTTCGTGAGGGGGGATACCCTTAAAGAGGATTGTGGGACCCCAGTCTCTTCTCTTTCTTTTTCATTCATGGCTATGAGATAAATTGCTTTGTTCCACCATGTGCTCTTTACCCTCATGTGCTGCCTTTCCACAATCCAAAAATCAAAGGGGCCAGCCACTCTAACCCTCCACAACTATGAGTCAAAATAAAACTTCATTTTTCTAAACAGATTATCTCAGGCATTTGTTATATTAATGGAAAACTGAGAGTTATTTGATTTTTCAACTCTGAAATTTCCATTTGATTTGTTTTTATAATTTGTTTATTGATATTCTCCAATATGATACTGCTGTAACATTTTTACTTTTTAAATCACATTTTCCTCAAGTTCTTGAAACATGTTAATAATGACAACCTTGTAGTCTGTTAAAACTGGTACCTAGTAAAAACTCATGAGCAGGCTCTGTTGCCTTTTCCCCTCAATAATATGGGTTCATACTTTCCCATTTAATGCATGCCTCATAATTTTCTTGGAAACTGGACATTTTAGATAATATATTACAGCAACTCTATGTCATCCCCCCAGAACTTTGCACTGTGTTTTTTATTTGTTTAGTGAATGGCTAGCCAATTTTAGTGAAGTCTAATCCCTACAATAATAAGTATTATTAAGAAATGTTAATCTGACATTAAATGTTAATCTGTTCTCCTGGGGCAAATCCTTATGTATGCACAGTCGTCCTTGAACCAGTTATTTCTACTAGTCAGCAGAAAAAAAATTGAAAAAAAATTATGGCCCCAAATTCTCCAGGTATATTGAGAAAAATTAATCCAGTACCTAGTAAGTATAATGAACTCCAAACAGGATGAACACAAGGGGACCCACAAACATATCATATTATCGAGGGGGTCCATAGACATATACTAAAAATCACACCCAAAAACCCTTGAAAGACAGGAAGCAAGCAATGACTAGTCAGTTACAAGTGAAACTCAATGAAATAAAAAACTCAGTTCACATAGAAACAATGGAGGCTAGGAGGCAGCGAGATGACATGACATACTCAAAGTGAAGGGAGAAAAATGAAAATTTTTCAACCAAGAATCTTATATTCAGAAAAACTATCTTTCAAAAATGAATATACAATAGATATTCTTAAGAAACAAAATTGAGAGAACAAATTTTAGTAGACTTGGAAGTTCCTCATGCCAAATGGAAATTGATCCACATTTTAAAAAACAGCAAAGATAAAGGTAATTATGTAATTAGGAAGGATAGTTTAACTGAAAGTGTTTGTTTCTTTTCCTAACAACTGAAAAGGCAAGTGCTGTAACAGAAATGTAATGTGCTTGCTAATAAGAGCACAGGTAAGATGGGTAAGAGCAAAGTTATACAGGGCCAAAGAAATAACTGCTTTGGTAACTCAAATCCACAGGAACAAATAAAGAAAATCAGAAATGATAAATAATGTGAATACAACAGAAGTTGGAGTAGATCTTTTGTAGATGGGAAGAGGATCTAGGGATGGAGGGAGAAGAGAGAGAAGGTTAAGGGAAGTATAAGGACTACAATATGATAAGTACATGTACCAACTCCACATGCTGAATGTATTCATTATTATTGCAAACATATACTAATAAAAATAAATTTAACAAAAACTTTTTAAAAGAAAACATAAAAATTATACTATGTATGTGTTTTCTTTCTCTCAGCTTCTGTAAAAGTCTTAAAATTATACAAAGTAATAACTACAAGAATGAACTGTTACAATATTTTGATATACTGAGTATGACAGCAATATCACAAAAAGGAAGAAATTGGTATAAAACTATATAAAACAAATATTTCTATATCTCATTGGTATTAAGTTACTATGTCTTTGAAGCTGATTATAAATTCAGATATTCATGGAAAACCACAGATTGATAACTAAGGAAGTAAACTTAAAATTTTTGAAAATTCACTAAGTAAAATGTTATAAATGTTTACTCAATGTAGAAAAAAGCAACAGAAAGGGTCAAAGGAACAATAAGGGCATGAAACTGAAATAGAAAGTAAAATGACAGATTAAATCTAACCAAGTTCAAAAGATAAAATGTGAATGGATTAAGCAATTCAATGAAAAGGTAAGAGAAGCTCATACTGGGATTTTTTTAAAGGTCCAGCTCTATATTGACTATAGAAGATACACTTTAGGTTCAAAGCTAAAGAGACTGAAAGTAAAGATACGGAGAAACACATACTATAAATAATATGCACAAAATAATGAAGCAACCTAGATATTAAAACTAGAAAAAGTCAGGTATGGTAGCACATGCCTATACTCCCAGGATTCTGGGAAACTAAGACAGGAGGATCACAAGTTCAGGCAGAGCCTTGGTAACTTAGCAACTCGGCAAGACCCTGTCTCAAAATAGAAAAGGACTGGGGAGGGAGCTCAGTGCAAGGGCTCTGCATTCAATCATTAGTATTAGCAAAGAAAGAAAGAAAGAAACAACATAGAGAAGAGAAACAGCAATTAATCCTTCTACGTTCAGTTTCTTCATTTGAAAACGGGGTGGTGGGTAATCAAGCCAAGCATGATGGCACATGCCTATACATACCTGTATTCTCAGTACTCTGATAGACTAAGATAGGATCAAGCCCACTCTGGGCAACTTAGCAATTCAGTGAGAACCTTTGTCTAAATAAAACATGTAAAAAGGGATAGGGATATAGTTCTATGCGAAAGCCCTGGGTTCAATTTCCAGCGTATATGTGTCTGTCTGCCTCTCTCTCTCTCTCTCTCTCTCTCTCTCTCTCTCTCTCTGCCCCCCCCACAGAGTAACTGCAGACAAAGATAATGATTTTATGATGATAAAGAGAATAAATCTATCAGGAAACTATAACAGCTAAGAACATATATGTAGTCAAAATACATGAAGCAAAAACTGACAAATGTAGCAGAACTAGACAGTCCTACAGTAGTCTACAGTAGGATACTTCAATGCATCCTGCAAAAGTAGACAGAAAATCTGGGTAAAAGTTCAGCAACAGAAGATATAGAAAATAATATAAACAAACTAAACATAACAGACATTCATAGAACATTCTAACAACAGAACACATTCTTCAAAAACACACAGAGAAAAATTTCCAGAGCATATTAGACACTGCACCATAAAATAAACATTCCAAAATGTAGAAGTATCAAAATTACAAAGCATAGTCTCCCACCAAAATAAAATAAAAAATTGGAATTTTCACAAATAAGTAGAAATTACACAGTATGTTCCTTAATCAGTTTAAAACAATCAAAAAATAAATCAGAAATATTTTGAGATAAATAAAAATGAACACACAGCATACCAAAATGTAAGGAATATACATAAAGCTTGCTTATAAGGAAATTTATACCTGTGAATCCCATTAAACAGAAGGAAAAACTGAAATAATAACCTAATTTTCCACCTTAAAATTATAGAAAAAGACAGCAAATTAAGCTGTAAACAACTAGAAAGGAAATAAGAAAGATTACGGTGGTTAGCTAATGAAATAGAAATGATAAAATCATTGAAACCAAGGCTGTTTCTTTGAAAACAACAAAATTGGGCTGGGGATTTAGCTCAGCGGCATAAGCACCTGCCTTGTTAAGCGCATGGTTGTGAGTTCAATCCCTGGTATCAACAACAACAAAAAAAAAAAAAAAAAAAAAAAAAAAAGAAAGAAAACAAAATTGACAAAGATTACCCTAGATTGGCCAAGAGTTCTTCTTTTTTTCTAATGCTAGTATCCTCCTTGAATCATTTCCTATTTTTAACTAACAGTCTTTTGTTTTTCAAGGAATGTGTCTGTGTGTTTACTTATATAAACATCATTAAATGACCAACCTGTGTGCACACCTGTTTGTGTGTGACATGCACATTTTGTATCTACCCAATAACTTAGTTTTTTGGTGACAGGGACAAATTCCAACCTTTGAAATAAAATTAATCAATTTGTTACATTACTTTTAAATTTCTTCTCACATAGCCAGTATCTTGCGCTTTTCCTCTCCAATAGGATGCACTAATGTGATACAACAAAATTTTCTCATTAAAAAAGGTAAAATGAATAAGTAACCATTAAATGATGGAACAGTAAATCTTCTATAGTTTTGCAAAGCTAAGCATATTTTATTGATTTAAACAGTGATATAAACAGGATAATATCCTGGCCTCAAATTTGTACTTTTAAAAACTTAATTATACCCATTTTTTTGGTAAATACAATTTCCACATGATTCAGAGTAAAATATTAACATCAATAATACTGTTGCTGTATGATCTTTGTACCTGCAACACTGACAAAAGAAACATAATTAACATGGAGAATCAGAATGTACAGGAAGAAAAATTCATAATTTAATAGGACTAGTTAAGTTCTATCATTTGTTGAAAGTAAATATACATAATCTTTTAAAATTTAGCGTATCATGAAATGAAGGTAAAGATTGGAACATAAATGACAATATTATATAGTTCCACTTTGACATGGCCCTTTGCTAGTCATGAGTGCATCAGACATTGCTACTTCTGTAATTTGGACTGTTCTCACCTAATTCCCTTATGTCATCTTCTTCTGTTCCCAGTATTATGCAGTCAGAGCACCAACATGTTGAAGCTGTATCTCAGAGAGAAAAGGGAGAGGACTCTTGGCTTCACATGAGCTAAAGCCTTAGTGGAGACAAAGAAAGAGCTGGGCCATGGAGTATGTGTACCAAGAAACAAAAAGCCCACAGGGAAGGGAAACGGAGGGGGATCTGGGCCATGTGGTACAGTGGCCTTTCTCCTCCCAGAAGTTTTCCTTCTAGAATTCACCTTGTCCTGTCTGAGGCCATGCTTCTCAAGCTTTTGTGTGGGCAACAGTCACCTGGTGCACTTGAACATGCCCAGGTGATACAGACATACAATATACGACATACTGATCTAGGTAGGGATTTCATGATATATGTATTTCTCCTTCATTATGAAAAATAATGAAGCTTCTTAAAGGATCTAAAGAGAGCATGTTGCTGGAGTATTAAGTTTGAATGAGGCTCTTAAGCTACTGCAGCCCTAGGTACATGCAATAACACAGATCCTGCAGATCAAAATTTGCTGAACAAATGAGGCTGCATCCAGGGTACCTAGCATTCTTGATCAAAGTCCTCTGAGCACTGATTTCCTCACTTCTCAATGCTATTCTCTCCAAAGTGCATTGTTCCCTGCTATTCCAGGAAGAGAAATTTTCCTTACTCTGTCTTTTTTTCTCCTTGTTTTTACCCTTTCTCCTCTTTCTCCTCCTGTCTTCTTTCTCCTACTCCTCTTAGAATAGAATGGTCTATTCCCACTGGGAAACCTACATTTCCAACCCAACCCCAGCCCTTAAGCAATCTTGAGCTCTCACACAGAAACCAAAGAGCAAAAAGAAGACATTCTCCTTACCAGGGTCCAGAAAGGACTGGCATGCTCCAGCAGCACCGTAGTTCAGCTCCTGCGGCCCTGCTTGTGGGATCCAGGCCTCTGTGACTGGGGCCTCCTGGACAGGGCCCATTACCTGAAGATCAGGTGACTCCAGATGCATATCTGGTGGCATGGGTACTGTTCCAACTGGTGCCAGTTCTTCTAAGAGTATGTCATGCATATCAACCTGGGGGAAATGCCAGAACCTGATGCTTTCTGTCCAGACCTGCTGAATGTATGGTTAGCTTTTTCTCATTCAGAAGTAGTACACTGGCCATCAGCAGTACAAAGAGAGCCATGGATATAATTATAAATGATTCAGTGGCCACATGAAACAGTACATGAGAAGAAATACAACAGGTCAACCTACACAGCTGATATACTGAATCCAAGATATCCCAGCCATTAGTATTTCAGTAGGTCATCAATTTAACTCCACCTACTGTCCCCCTTAATACTAAATCTTCTGAATGTGGTATGCATTTCCCACTCAATGCAGGGTGTGAGTCAGCACTGGCCACACTTTAAGTGCTCAAGTTCAACCCATTGTTAGTGGCTCCTATACTGAGCAGGGATTCCCTAGATCACTAGGAGATAAATTCATACAAAGGCAACAAAATGACAGATAAAAAGAAAGGGAAACCACTAGGCCAAGCTACTCTAGGGAGGCAGGAATGATTGGAAGACTGCTGATTTGCCCTGGAACCCGCCAGCTCCTGCTAAACTCACCTCATCCCACACCCAGGGTCTCTGATGTCCAAATGGAAGCACAAGCTCCCTCCTTCCAGACACTGCCCTCTGCTCAGCCTGCCCTTCCCGAAGAGGCTTTGTATGGTAGTGGCTCTAAACAAGGGGCACTGCTAAGCCCCTGCCCGCTAGTGGACCAGAAACAAGAGCTCTCAATGTAGAGTTTTTCCATTTTCCTACCAATTGTGGAATCTACCTCCAAGAGTCTGTGTAGGTAAAACCACATCCTATTGATCAGAAACAAAGCATTTTTGCATACTTTAGCATGGCTTGGGTTTTCTAGGAATGTCTTACTGTGCAAATCCCAGGAAGACTCCACTATTTATTGTTCTAGTTGATAAAGGACTTGTTGCGTTTTGAAAACTTACATGAGAAACATCAATATTGTTCATAGTACTTGAGTCGTAGTCTGAAATCCTGACTGCCCCATCACAGTGATTCTAAGTAGAAATAAAGGTATCTGACCACTTCATGAATTCTTCTGCTGAAGTCAAGTCTAGGCATTCTTATGCAGAAATGCCTACTAGCTTATAATGGACTGTGCTCCTTTCCCTTTTTATCTGTTCTAGACTCGAGCTGACTAGGGTTTGACAAGCTGCTTCCGTAAGGAGCCAAACAGTAAATATTTTCAGTTTTAGGGACTACATTTATTGTCTCATTTATTTTCTTTCTTTCTTTTTTTTCCCCAAAAGAAACACTTTAACAAAGGAAAAAGTCTACTCCCAAGTACACATAAAAAGAGCCAAGATCAAATACAGCAAATTATTGACAATTCTGGTTGATATATGTGGACTGTTTGTAAATCTCATTTACAGATAGGAAAAGACACATTATAATGTCTATGTTAAAGAACAGCATGAAGTCTATTCAGGGTGGAGAACTGCTGACTTATATGTTAACTGCAGTAGATTAAAATGAAAAGGACTATGGAAAAACTATAATAACACAAGGATAAAATATCTGGTCTTGACCCAGCTGCTTTGGTTCCTCTTTTGGTCTAACAACAAAGACCCCAAACCTTTTTCTCACCTGTTGTTCTGGTATCTCAAGTTCTCTCTGTAGGTCTTCTATCAGTGATACAACTCTTTCTCTATTTTCTGGGCAGTGTTCCCTCACCCAGGTTTCTATCTCTGTGGGCAAAATAGTGAGAAATTGCTCCAGTACAAGCAGCTCCAGGATTTGTTCCTTAGAACGCATCTTTGGCTTTAGCCACTGACAGCAAAGCTCCCACAGTTTGTTGAAGGCTTCATGAGGCCCAGCTGCTTCAGTATATTGGAACTGCCTGAAGCGCTGGCGGAAGACCTCACAGTCAGTGTCATACTCTTGTAGCACAGAGCCCTGATTCAAGGAGGCCTGGATTGCACAGCCCAAGGCCACAGCCATAGCCCCTTCCAGAAGCTTAGAGTTTATCTGGTGCCTGAGGTCTCAGATTCCAGTTTGTTTGTCTCTGTAATAGTCCTGCGGGGAGCCACCTGCAGCTGAAGGAAGGGAGACACAAGAAATGACAACAGCAGTGGTTACAATAGGGCACACTCAATGCCCTTAACTTATGTTTTTAACCAAAGTGAACAACTCATAATCTTTCTGATCATTTTGAGAGTCTGGTAAAAGCTAGACTCACTTCGGAGAAAAATATCCATATACATCCAATTCCTAATACATTTCAATAGTTTAAAAAATCTCAAAGTTCCTCCACATACTCTCTACAATGGTGTTCTACAATATGCTAGCCACTTGCACCACGTAGCACATGACTTCAAAATTCAGTTTCTCAGCTGAATTTCATGTTCTAGCTAAATTTCATGTTGCACAATAAATATCACTGCCAAATTTCTACTGGCGAGCTCTGCTCTGTAATTCCACAGTCCCAATGACATGAACCTTACCCGTAATAAGTCCCCATAGATCTACTGATATTTAACCCCACTGCCAGTCTAATTCCAAGTATCTTGTGTTTCTGAATATATGAAAATACTGTATAGGAAGCCTGTGAACATTATTTTTAAATAATTTTGAATATCCATATAGCTCTCAGTATACCTTAATATCATTCAATCAAGGTGAATCTAGGTAGAGTTATGTTTTGTAAAAACAGAAGATTGTCGATCTCTCATTCTTCTCCACCCAAAACATGTATAGTTCAGTCAAAATCACTAAGAATCTCATTCTTCTATAACATGTCAAGTAGCTCTCCTATGAGAAAAATATACTGCATAGGACAAGCCATGAGGAATCTCCTCTGAATTCGTAATGAAGGACTCATCAAATTCATATAATATACCAGGCACTGTTCTAAGTATCCTGCATATATCAATTCAGTTAAACCTCTTCCAACTTTAGGAGCAAGATATTAATGTGATTTCCCCAATGAAGATGAGGAATGGAGATTTGACACCTAGTGGAATTGAGTAACTCCTCCAAGGTCATAGTGAAAATGCCAAAGGGAAATGGTTATGAGGTTAGAATCGATACTCCCCCATAATTAGAATATCTAAAACCATCGCTGTGTTTTTATTGAGATTGCAGAAGAGGCTAATAAGTGGTCCTAAACAGGTCTCAGGACTTTTACCTGCCCATGTACTAGAGTTCTCTCTGCATTTGCTGAATCAATCTCTGTCTCTTTATCTCTGCTCCCATATCACCCTTTATTATGATGTTGACCTGAATTTTGTGGAAGATGAATTTAGGCATAATAACCGGCTAGCTGTGTGGCCCTGACAGCCAGTGGCCATCTGAAACATGCATAATTGTAACATTAACTTCATAAAATATCTTGCCTGGATCCAACTGCATGGAAAGCGAATAGCGGTGTGCCTGGCACAAGGAAAAGGTTCAATTAAGATTTGTTGCTGGTCAAGACTCCTTTCTAGGAAGCTTCTACTTTCCTGAGCCTAGCCGTCTAACCGTTGCTGGAAGGCAGCCAGGAACTGTGTTTTTTTGGCGGTGGACCCACCCGTTAATCCGATCCAGCCTCACAGCTGGCCAGCCCTCCCTAACTGACCCAAAACCTTCCACCACGTCTACCAGGGAAATGACCCTCTGAGTTTCCTTTCATCGACCCTTCCCAGTTAAAAGTTAATTTCACTGGGGAACCGATTTCCCCCAAAACCTCCCTGTAGTGAACCCACCTTCACCGGGCCTACGAGTCCAGCAATGTGAGAAAAGAGGGCACTTGGTTAAAGGCAAGAGTGACATATCCCTGAAAAGTCTAAAAACCGGTTTAAAAAAGGACTCTGGTGTTCTGGGTGTGGTCCCCGAGCGCTGCTGGGCATCCAGGTCCTGCCGCCCAGAGGAGCACTCCCAGCCCGGAGGACTCCCAGAAAGGCCTGGCCGGGTCTCAAGGAGCGGCGGCGGGGTCCCTGATTCGATAGGGGCCCGCCGCCCCTCGAAGCGTTCGGCGCCCGCCGCCCGCGACACATCTGGAATCCACCGGTTCGCCTGGCCCAAGCCAGCGAAGGGAACCCCGCTACCCGCACCCGCGCCCCAGGGACGGCCACACCCTCTGGTCGCTCCGGGACTCACCGCCTCAGCGCCCACTGCTCTCCCAAGCTCACCGGCAAATGCCCAGGACGCAGGCGCGGAGTCGTGTTGTGAACTACATCTCCCGACAGCCCTGACGCCGCCCGCTGCGTTTAGAGCCCATAAGGATGTTGACGTGGGAGGGGCTGGGGCTCTCTGGAGCTTCCTAGCTTTAAACTGCATTGGAAATGCTCCCGTTTCCGGTCTAATGACTTCGTACCCCAGGGGGCCTAGTGGGGCGAACCAGGGTTCAGGAACTGAGTGAGGCCTTCTGCCCAATTTTCTTAGCGTAACCAGAGCAGATGGAAACATTTTTAAAATCTGCTGTACCTAGTCAGTGATTCTCAAACCTCTGTGTGTGTGTGTGTGTGTGTGTGTGTGTGTGTGTATAGGGGTCTTGGAAGAACTTATTTTAAATTCAAATTTTTGGGTCTAGCCCAACATACTGACATGTTGGATCTCTGTATGAGCTTAGGGACTCGTATTTAATAGACTTTCTCATAAATCTGGTCTTCTCCTGCGGGTCACAGTGGCCTTGGATTTGCTTGGTAGTTGCCTCCTGAAGAACTGATTTTCCACTTATGGACCCTGTTGTTCCTTTCCACCTCCAACAGATACCAGAGGTCTCTTAGGTCCTAGGGTTCTCCATCGGTGTGCTTCGAGTCTTCCAATTGGTCCTTGCTGGTCCTGCCTCTGGAAGCAAATTTTCCCTTCTCAACTAGACAGCAGCAAATTGTGTTGAGGCCTGAGCCAATAGCCCCCAGATACAGTGATGATAATTGGAAAAAATAGTTCTGAGACTGGTCCCAGGCTGGCACTGTTGGTATGCAGTTGGCAAATTTAAGTGCTAGGACTTCGTATGTGGGAGCCAGGACCTAGAAATAAGTGGGTCTACAAGAGTGAATTTAAACCTGCCTGTCCTTGTGGTTCCAGGAGGCTGTCATGGAAGCCAATCAGGCTGGGGGATGGAGTAGCAAGCGCTGAGCTTCAGGAGCCCACTGAGACCAAGACACTGGAAACATCTCTGCCCAGGCCCAGGTTACTCCCTTTGGCCAAGACTTGGAGACCCAAGAACCCGGGGTCCTTGAGACGCTGTCATTTCTCTCCCATAGCTGCAATCACTTTAGATGGTCACTTTTGAAGATGGGCACTGCCTGTTCCCAGCTAAGGTGATCCAGGAGCCTAATGGTGGCATCAGGGCCTGGCTCCCAGTGGAAAGGGGTCCTTGTGGTAGTGGAAAGTGCAGGAACACTGTCACTGGAGCCAGCAACTGTCCCTACCTGATTCAGTGCCCAGCCTGGAGGCCTTCCACTTTACTTTTGAGAATTTTACTTCCTAAAGACTGCTGGGTGCTGAGAAATCCTCAAGCAGTCTCTGGAGCATAACATTTCCAGCCTGAACTGTGCACCTGGGAGCAGGTGTGAAGTTTCTAATGCCGCAGTACTTCAATAATCCTGTCCCAGGAGATTAACAGCAAGGTGCAGATGATGCATTCGAAGAGCTGCAGAGAAGCCTCGGCTCTTAAAGTGTGATTCCTTGAGAGCTTTGAAAGGCTGAGGAATAGATGAGAGGATGGTCTGTCTGCTGCTTGGTTGCCCCAAGGTCTGGGACATTTTGCTGTCTTAGTTCCTTATTTGAATTTTCCTGAGTACCTTGAGTAGACCTTACACTAGTAGACCTTACAGTGACCAGTGACTTTTTGTGGTTTTGTAGCAGGATTTTCACTTAGAAAGATAGGACATGAGGCTCTTTCCAGGAAGTAGCATTTATTTATGCCAGCACTGACTTTGCAGGTTCACATCTAAAGGCTGAGCCCCAGGCATGATGGAGCTTTGCCTTTCATACAACCCTTGTGTCTTTATCTCTTATGTGGTAACACACTAACATAGTATAATCTGATTAGTTACTATCTTTGTTCAGAGCAGTTCTAGGACTATACTTGCCAGGATAGGAGCTAATTGTGTGACCTTGTTTTTGTTCTGAGAAGGCCCTCACCACATTTGTTTAGGAGGCGTGCTGTGACATTCCCCCTTCAATGCTCAGGACCCCCTATTTGGATCAAATAGTATTATATTGGCTTAAAGGTTTTTATTTTTATAGCATCATTTTATGCGAGGCCTTTGTTTTTATTTTTGGCCTTTATTTGTTTGTTTTTGTTTTTGACAAGTTCCTAAATGAGATTGGAGTAAGACCAGATGACTAGGGGAGCTAGGCAGAGTAAAATATTTAAATTAAGAGGAAAATATCTATGAAGATTTTGAATCACTTGAAGGTGGAAAAACATCCTTTTAAACAACTCTACTGGCTTTTTAGGTCTGGACTGGGACATGAACCATCATTTTTATGTGGTTTATGATCTATTTGCAGGTAGCAGTTGCACAGGTTAAATTTTTTATAAACTTTTTTTGAAGCAAGGAAGTAATCCAAGGCCAAGTATTTTTGATAGATTAGCATTGTGCATTTTGGTTTGTTGTTTACCTAATAAATTAAAAGCTGTGGCAGTTTTATTAGTTATACTTTTTACAACTGCTTACAGTCTCAGTATGTGGTTTAGCATGTAAATAATGTGCAGTAGTCCCAGTGCCCATTTTCTGCCCAGGTGGCAGGCCAGTGATGTGGGGGACAAATCCAGTGATCCCACTTGAATGCAAAACAATTGCTGCAACTTTGATTATATGGAGACTTATTTCCTTATACTGATATATAGAGAGCTGGCTGTAGTATTTCCTTCTCTCTTCGGTTGGCTCTAATCATTGCAAATAAGGCTAGTCAGGTACTTGTATGTAATCTCTAAAACCATCAGACTGTCTTCTGGTTCCTCACATAATGCTCTCTGCAAAAGATATGAGCTGAGGGGTCAGGATATTAGAGTCATTAGCTCCAGGAATTGACATTTAACTGGGTATGAGTGTCTAGGTAAAGAGACTATGACTCCCCAGGGCACAAAATTTACGTATCAGAAATCTAAACAACAGCCTCCTAAAACAGTTCAGCTGCTACCTTAATTGAATTATGCAAATTGATCCTTCTGTATCCTTATCTCTGCATCTTGCAGAGATGCTTTTCTCCCCAGCTGGCTAGCCAGCTCAAGTTACTCAGATAATTAATTCTCTTAATTCTCTGCCATGCTCACTGTCACTTATCCCTGAGCCACCCCCCTTCTTCACCAGATAATAAATTCTAGAGAGGTCTAGGATTAGGGCCTTTGTCCACATGTCCCCATAAGGATTGGATTTAGGGCCCCTTGGCTCCCCTTAACTTGGAATGTCTTGGTGTCTTTATTCTCGTCCTGGGTTGCATTGGAGGTGGTAGATTGGAATTAACGTGCTGGGATTCCAATAACCTCTCAGTGGGATTGTAAATATAACTTTTTGGATTGTGAGAAAGACTACAAAGGGATTACAATACTTTGGATCACTGCACACAGTATTTGGGATTACAATAATAATATTGGATTATATGCTTGGGAGGCTATTTATCATCTTTTAAACTGTCAATTTGTGGGGCGCATCATATTTGTTTGTCTCTCTGTTCCCATATACCTGGGCTCTCAGGTTTCTCTCTTAGTAAGACGGAGTAAGAAGAAAGATGGAGGAATTGTCTTTAACACATAAGACCCTGATCAATTTAGGGGGAGTGTAATACAGGCTGTTCTTTTGCATATCTAATATAAACTGCCTGGGGCCCTCCATTTGATGTCTATGTCAATACTATCTTAGCCCCCCAGAGGATGAGAGAAGTTGGGTAAAGGGTGAAGATTTGGCTCAAGGTGCTGGGGACCTCCACCATTTGGTTTTCCAGGCAGGTGAGTCATAAAATCTTTGGGCTAGGCAGGTGAGGCTTTTAACAGAGATGGTGAACCTTTTATTTTTCTATCAGGTAAGGCAATCTTTTTAATAATTGAGGTTTTAAGGATCCTCACTCCTATGGTAGTGAAATAGAGGAATGAAACTTTTAACCTAACTATATGTCCAGAGGAGTTTGTGTTCTCTAAAATTGAAGAATGAATTTTAGGAACAGCAGAGGTTAAGAGCAGAATATATTTATTGAGAGAAAGAAATCTGTGTGAGAAAGAGAGAGAGAATTAAAGAGAGACAGAGAAAGACACAGAGAGAGAGACAGAGACAGACAGACAGATACACACACACACAGAGAGAGAGAGAGAGAGAGAGAGAGAGAGAGAGAGAGAGAGAGAGAGAGAGAGAGAGACAGGCAGAAGTCTCCCAAGTGGGTTGCCAAAGATTCTGTCTTTTCTAGGGCCTTTTATAGAGTAAAACCACGAGGTGAGCTAGATCCAAAGTGAGGAAAACCCGGGAACGTGCAAGATGAGAATAAGGTGGAACAGAACTGTGGTTAATCAATAAGATTAATTGGTCAGATAAAATTAATCAAATCAGGGACAAATGGGGAAGCAAGTCACGTAGAAATCCAGCATGTTTAATGAGCAATGACTCTCCTAGTGGGTTGTGATAGTGGCTTCTGGCTTTTTGGGGGTGATAGAGACCTATTTAGAATATCAGTTCTTAGGATATGGGTGCATTTGTCTGATCTTTTGTCTTGAGGCCTGGCCCACAGTAGGAGGTGTCTGTTTTCTCACACAATTGCAAGGTATCTATGCTTTTGCACTGGCTCTGTCTGACTGCCTATAGTATTTCTGTCTAACTCAGCTGGCTGTAACAGTAGGGCTGGGGTACCTTGTTGTATTGTAGGGTTCATGAAGATCTAGTTTTCTAGCCTTTCATGGCCATTGATCTCTCATCTTGATTTTCTCACATATATAACAAGAAGTGACATTTAGGATCTCGACTATAGTCTTTGCTAAGGCAAGAAACAAGTTTTTTGTTGTACTGAAATGGGAGGGAACTACTTTTTATGCCCTTAGAAAAGGAATTCAAGGTCTTATGAGTTGAGGCTTAGAGTGAGACGGTAACCTTCTTGAAATTTAACATAGTTTCTGGGTCAGTGATATATATATCAATCCTGAGGCTATTTTTCAATTTTGGGTCTTTTAGATTTCAGATAGTAAAATTAACAGAATTATAGGCTCCCAATTTACAGCTGGAGGTGGCAAGCCCCTTTTGGAGTAGTACC